AAATTTTTGTAGCATGATATATAGTTGGATTAAATTTAAAAAATAAGAAAGTGTTGTTTTTTATTAGGCAATTTAAAATAAAAAATATACATGTGATATTAATAATAAAAATAAAATTAACTATAATGAATTTTAATAAAAATTAAATATAAAAAATATAATTAATATTCTATTAACCTTATGACGTAGCACATGTTGGATAAATTCAAAAAATATTGATACGTCTCTCACTCCCTTGCCGCTACAATTTTAATAGGAAGAGCCGTGATATGAAATATCTTCTCTCCCTTCAAAATTCTTGTCTTTTCCCATGTACTGATAAAATAAGCTGAATATGCCCACGCAATGGCATGTTTTTTTTTTTTTTTAAATTAAAATAAATTAATACATATTTAAATCTACAAGATTGAAAAAGTGAGATTTATGAAGTTTGAAAACACAATTTATATAAAGTAATCCCTCTTTATCAAAGGATTTTTTTTTTTTTGTGAAAACTTTATAAAAGGATTATTTTTTTTCTTTTTTTGTGAAAACTTTATCAAAGGATTTAATTATTAATTTTCACCAAAAAAAAAAAAATTTAATCATTAATCACTAGACCGGAGCGTTAGGGTGCTGTAATGGCATGTGGGCCGCACAATGTTTGAGAGGAAAATAAATACCGTACAAAAAATCCAAAACTTGTAAGAATCCAATCAATATATTTACTAATATTTCGAGGCGGCCGGCGCTCAACCTTACACCTGTAGGCGACCTCCCGTCCTACTGCTAAACCTGTCCTATTCAGTTCATAGATTGCGTTACACGAGTAAGCCTCTGTTTTCCAGGGGAAGCTTTCCGATGAGGAGAAAGGGGACAGACAATTGGTCGTGATGTCGTCGGACACGACTGCCCAGACGACTGCCGAGACAAGACAACCCTTGTTGGAGGCGAGCGGCGGCGGCATCGGAGGTCATGGAGGAGGAGGACGTTGGTGGGGGAATGTTTTGGATGTTGGAGAGGCCAAGAATCAGGTTCTCTTTTCACTGCCCATGATTCTTACTAATGTTTTCTACTACTCCATTCCTTTGGTTTCCGTCATGTTCGCCGGCCACCTCGGAGAACTTGAGCTTGCGGGCGCCACCCTTGCCAATTCTTGGGCCAACGTCACCGGCTTTGCTTTTATGGTAATTATTAATATTATCCTGATCCTCCCCCATCTCCTACTTTCAATTTCAATCTTTGTTAAATTCAGTTTTAGACTCGCCATTTTTCTTATATGTCCTACGTTGACTTTGATAAAGTGTAGCTTCTTAGTTACATAAACAGAACTCGAGTCAAATACCATTTTTTCAAAAACATTTTTAACGTACTTTCCAAGTTTTAGAAGTTATACTATTTCATTTTCTAGTTTATTATAACCTAAATTGACTTCTAAGAAGCATCGTAGATGTGGCTATATCGATAGGGTGTAGCTTAACTATACATCCGGTTATAATTCAATTATTTGTAATATCATTCTCTTTCTTTCAATTTCTCAATGTTTTAAAAAAAAAAAAAGATTTCTAAGAAAACACTAGAAACTAGAGAATTTTCTTTACTTTTTTTATCAGCACTAGAGAAATTCTTAGGAAAACTAGAGAATGTTCTTATGAAAAATATGTTTAGCTCGGTTTCAACTTTCAAAATGCATGCCAATTAAGAACACCTGAGAATTTTAGTTTTTCTAAGAAATCTGTTTTCCCATACCAAAAATAAAACTTTTTCGTTTGGGTAAATTAATAGTAATCCTACAGTTTGAGAGTACAAGATAAGAAATTCAATAATGAGGAATCGTGGTCTCACAAGCTGAACTAGTTTGACTTTATGATGTGAGCCTGTGCATGCGGTAATTTTGAGAAAACAACCAAACATGTACGGTAAGTAACCTTAATTCCATTGTTTTGTGGGACGTCCGAAGCAAAAGCATTTAAAATTGTTTGCTTTTTTACTTTTCATTCATCAAAATTTGAGTTGGTATCTTATTTGACTAGCGCATTTTAACTATTAATTGTGTTAAAGTTCATCCTTTTCTCTGCTTTTTAAGTGTATTCAACTATTAGTGTAATAGGGATTTTTGGGTTTTGAACATTAAACTTGGATTCTCATGAATCTCGTAATTCAGTTCTAACAAGAATAACTTATCTACCTGTTATTGGACTAGTTTTGTTATGAAGCGAAGAAAATAATCTGAGTTCCTTCCTCTTACTTTAGGTAGGATTAAGTGGAGCACTGGAGACACTTTGTGGCCAAGGATTTGGTGCAAAGTTATACCGAATGCTGGGAATTTACCTCCAAGCATCCTGCATCATTTCTTGCTTCTTTGCTGTTATCATATCCATCTTATGGTTCTACACAGAGCCAATACTCATCCTACTTAAACAGGATGCTCAAATTTCTGAAACAGCTGCTCTCTATATGAAGTTTCTGATGCCAGGTGTATTTGCATACGGTTTCTTGGAAAACATCCAGAGGTTTCTTCAGACACAGAGCATAGTAATGCCCCTGGTCTTGCTCTCAGTGCTACCAATGGTGATTCATTTTGGCATCGTGTACGTGTTGGTTAATTGGACAAGTGTTGGTTACAAGGGAGCTCCATTGGCAGCTTCAATCTCGTTGTGGATATCATGTCTTGTGTTAGCAATTTATGTCATGTCTTCGAAGAAATTCAAGCACACATGGGAAGGATTCTCATTTGAGTCATTCCGTTTCATCCTTACAGAGTTGAGACTAGCCCTACCGTCTGCAGCAATGGTTTGGTGAGCTTTAAGACTTTTCACTCTATAATAAAACAAAGTCATTGTAAGTAAGAAAGTATAATTTGAAGCCGCATAATTAACACCCTACTCTTGTGTTCGTTTTTCACGTTTCTTTGGCAGTTTAGAGTGCTGGGCTTTTGAGATTCTTGTGTTCCTAGCAGGAATTATGCCTAATTCACAAATAACAACGTCACTGACTGCAATGTGGTAAGCCTTGAGATCATTTTTAAATTGTCCTAAACCTGTTTTGGTTGTTTGTCAAGCTTGACCTTGCAGATTTTTGTCTCTTTTGGGGTTTTCTAGCGTGAACACGGAAGCCATTGCTTACATGATCACATATGGTCTTAGTGCAGCAGCAAGGTTAGTGCTAGAGTACATTAATCTCTTAAGTTCTCTCCTTTCTCCCTATTTCGAATGGTGAGAGAATGAAATTTACTTTGACAGCACAAGAGTTTCAAATGAGTTGGGTGCTAAAAAACCTGAGAGGGCTAAGAATGCCATGGTTGTGACTCTCAAACTCTCTGTCCTTCTTGCACTTGCATTTATTCTCACCTTAGCCTTTGGCCATAACATTTGGGCCAGTTTCTTCAGTGACAGCACTTCAATAATCACAGAGTTTGCGTCCATGACACCCTTCCTTGCTATCTCAATTGCACTTGATTCTATACAGGGTGTCCTATCAGGTTCTAACGCACAAAGATTTCAGATTGTGTTGCATATTAATGTTTCTTTGTCTTTTTTTCGTACTATTCGATATCCCTTAAGCACTAAACTTAGACTTAATTGGCATACATTGGCCTGGTACAAGTAATTTTTATGATGTTGCAGGGGTGGCCAGGGGATGCGGGTGGCAGCATTTGGCTGTGTTCGCTAACTTGGGAACTTTCTTTTTAATCGGCATGCCTATTGCAGCTGTTCTTGGATTTAAGTTGAAGCTATATGTTAAGGTGAGAGGAGGCAGTTTTTATTTATTATTTATTATTATTATTATTTTCAGTCTTTGAGGCATCAGTCTTGACTCCATTCTGATTTCTCTTTGTTACACCATTTTCCTCGTGTTCAGGGGCTCTGGATAGGCTTAATCTGTGGCCTCTCTTCCCAAACAGGGACCCTGCTGTTGATCACATTGTGCAGAAAGTGGACTAGAATTGATCTTTCTGATCAAGCAGATAAGGAAATACCAGATTCTGTTTAACAAAAATTCACAAAGGAGAAGAAAAACAATCAGGAGCAAGACCTAAAGGCCTATAGCATCTGACATTTTGCTTACACGCTAGAGAGCAGAGTAAGCATTTCATCAATTACTGAGATCGACCAAATAGTTACAATCATCTTATACATGTTTTCTTATTTACAATGAATTCATTCATGTTTGGTGTAGCTAAAACTTTTGATAGAAGTCCTTTATATGAGAATATGTAGTAGAAATTCTGTTTGTTAAAAATTAAAAATGTTTGGTAACATTTTTCATACAAGTACCCTTAGAATCTAAAATTGTTTGATAAATTTTTTTATAAAAACTCTTTTAATCTAATATAATATTGAAATGATTAAAAAAGACATTTAAAAAAAACACTTTTTTAAATTTATAGAGTTTTAGTTTCTTAAGAGTTTAATTATTTTAAAGTTAATAATTACAAATAAATTTTTCAAAGTTAATATAAAAATTAACCCAAGTGCAATTCATCAATTAATTCTAACTT